CAGACCAGACTTTTAATAATATATAAAGGTTATTGATTTATATATTTTAAAATCATACCTTGTAAACTTCATGAACATTACACATATCTAAATTTGGTATTGCAGTGCATGGATAGTATCAATAAAAAAGTATAACAAAAAAGTTTATGCAAAGTCCATAGAAACTGACGAAATCAAACGCTATCAACTATGGACTTACTATTACATATCACACAATGATTAATTGCCAGAATCTATAATGAAATATTAAATCAACAGTTTTGCTATAAGTTTGTTGTATTCAAGTAAGGGAGGTATTTTACGTTTTCTATTCTCTTTTACAATCAGCTGTCAGGTGTGAAATAACCTAGATTAGTTGATTAATAAATAAACTCATTTCTGTTGTGTTCAACGGAAACCATTAAATGGAAGGTCGGGTCGAATTTTTAACGTAATAGTCTCCCAAAGTAACAATCCACAGGAAGACAAATAACCCTAACCCGGATACATTTTTCTTATCAGAGACTTACTCTTACCCTTAGTAAATAGTTTCATTAAATCGGGGATAGAACCTACGACCCTTGTACTCGTGGGACTATCCTTACCACACATTTTGTTGGGGTTAAACCAGTTGTACATGCAGACAAACATAACCAATTGTCTTATCGAGACCATATGTCGTAAAAGGGAAACAAATGAAAAATAAAACAGAAATAAAGGACAGTACATAATTTGGAAAGCAGGTTGTGGCCAACAAATATGTTGGATGCACGACTTGATAAAAAAGATAAGAATAGTATTCTTTTCGTGCATCTTATGAACTATGATACAGATTGTAGCAAATGTGGTATCCACTAAAGGCTAAAATGTTAGAATAGTCTTCAAAGAGTTTTCTGAGCTGTTACAAAGTGTACATATCTATCACAATATCTTCCAAAAATAAGTTTTAAGTGTCATTACTGGTACAGAGTATATTAAACTTTTCCGAGCACCTCAGTTCACCCTAAATTTTTAATTGGGTCTGTGTAGTGTGAGACTGTTGTTCGTTTGGTCATCATGGTCATTTTGTTGTCTGTTTATCATCGATTTATGATCAATTTTATCGTCCTTTGGTATGTCCTCCTTTTTTACAAAATTTATATGGAATTCAATATACACACTCTCCTGGATGATTAATTCAGCAGGGTGTAGTTTTAATAACATATCTCTGATTACTAGTGGAAAGTTATTTAGAATTTGGCTTACGTTGGATTTCGACCCAGGATTGTCTACTGCATTCAAAGGAGATTACGACTATTGATTAAGTTCACGTAAGATAGCTAGGTTCTCATAAAATTTTTTAGACCTTTTTTTCAGGTTGAAAGTAAACAGTGATACTAATCTTGATTTCAAATTTCGATAGCACGATTCGTGCCTGAATCAAATTAAATCAAATCTTAATCAGTAAATTCAATTTCATTCAAAACTACATCCAACTTTGTTCCTCCCTTATTTGCTTCATGGGCAAAGCAACAATATAACTGTTCAATAGACCACTTGTCTCTACAGTTTCATCTTCCACATTAGTAAACTTCCTAGTTTCTTTTCTATCAAATAACCATCATTTTTTCATCTAATTGCCTAACCTTTTAACTGTATTTATTTCGTGAAGTTGTATTTATTAAGCTATATCAATACAATATTGAATTTGAATGATCTTGTTTCCGTTTTTAGCTAACCTGGACTTAAAGGCCATGTGAGCTTTTGTCATTATATTGCGTCCGTCGTCCGTCCATCGTCGTAAACTTTAAAAAAAAATACACTGAAACTACAGGTCCACATGTAACCAAACTTTACTAAACGTTCTTTAGATATCTAGTTTAAAACCTGTATTTGGGGATATTGTCCATCTACTAGCATGGCAGCTGTTTAAACAGAACATGGGATAAAATACAGATTTTGGCTTATATATATATAAAAACTAAAGCAGTTAAAGCAAAACCGACAGGTTAAAAATTATCAGCAGGTCAAGGTATCTGATATGGAATTTTCAGAACAACCCATTTTGGAATTATTGTCCCTGAGTTATTAGTCAATTTCGAAGTTATAGGTTGATATCTTGAAATCTATAATGGATAGAGAAAAATTTTAAACATCTAAAAACGACTAGAAAAATTTAATCTACAAGTAGCATCACAACAATCGTCAGTTGACCCCTAAAAGGAGTGATTATGATTACTCTTTTTGACATTTTTGCTGAAACTATGGCAGCAAAGTATGATCTACAAATAAGTCAACATAGACGGAATCGTCGATTGACACTTTGACAGAGTTATTGCCTTCATAAGTGGAGTACTGACGTGTTCGACGTCCGCGTCATCATACTTTTGCGTATATAGCTATTTCTTAGACATTTAAAAACAAACAGCTATCACTGAGTTACATCTTGAAGAGACTGAGTACATATCATCAGATGAAGGTCACGCAAGGATTCAGTATCATTGATTAAGATTTTCATTATGCATCCTAGTTCAGTTATCAAACACAAGTTCACCTATAATTATACAACTTGGCGTCATGGTCCATTTAGGGAAGAAGACATCCTCCAAAAATAAGAAAGGCAAGTTAAATCTCGGTTACTAAGTGACATCCATATATATGTTGGTGTGAGGATGCATCAATGGAAGTATAAAAGTATGTCTCTTTTTAAAAACGTTAGAGGTTCAAATACTATGGTACCTACAATGATGAGTCTGTAGGGCCCAGAATACCAATAGCCAACTTTTCCCATGAGGATCGTTTGGGGGAAATTTACACAATATATAGTAGTCGGTATATATATATAGATATGAATTTGTCATCACAAACCTTGAAGATAAGTTCATGTTTTATTTCCCTTTCCCATTTGTTAGTCAGATATATACAGTATAGACAACGATCTCACATTTTCCAACTTATAGCCATTAATATGAAGTGTAAAAGACCTTTAAAAAAATTGGAAATGGTTTAACTTTGACGACTATCAATTTTAAACACTATATTCACACCCTTTTGACGGCTATTGGTACGGCAGCTACAATATTATATATTTTTACTATCGTTGTGTACAGCAGATTTCTGTCAGCGTTTCCGAGTGCCATAGCAATACCATGGCTTTTACCATCGTCAGCAGATTCCGATTTGTTTTATCTATTGCATCTGCCATACGAATAACCGTTAATGATCGGTTATAAGGCGTGTGTTTTTCTGCGAGATTTGATCAGTGAGGTGAATTGGTTTGAAGTACAACTTCAAGTTTGGTTCTTGGACTTCAAAGAAGACACAATTGTTAAAATTGTAAGCGATCTTCAATTTTGTTGGTTAGCTATCCATTACTAACCGTTTTGAAAAGTAAGGATACCATGCGGCATCTAAGAACAAAGCGTAAGTCATACTGTAAAGGGACATTGCAAAAAAAAAAACAACAACTAACATGCGTGAAATAATTTTAAAAATGACCGTTTTTATGATTTCAAATAGCCTTGATTTAGAGCGATTTAAATAACGCTTGAGGCGCCGGTAATAAGAATACAAGTCATACTGTAAAGGGACATTGCATAAAAAACAAACTAACTGACGTGAAATAATTTTAAAAATTACCGTTGTCATGTTTTCAAATAGCCTAATTTAGAACCCTTGAGACCCTCATGGAGATACATTAATCAAGACATAATCACTCTTTTGCTATATCAATCGCGTAATAAAAATTCAAGTCTACACTTTCATTCACCATTTTCTTCGGAAAATGCCTATACCAAGTCAGGAATATGGCAGTTATTTTTCAGATGTTCCGTTGATTTTGTCAGTTTTTATGGACTTCCCCTTTTTGAATTTGCCTTGAAGGGCAGTATATTTGTTATACTTTTTCATTGCTTTGAATAATAATAATAATAATAATAATAATAATAATAAAAATAATGTGATAATAATAATAATAAAAATAATGTGATAATAATAATAATAATAATAATAATAATAATAATAATAATAATAATAATAAGGATAATAATAGTAATAATAATAATTTGCCAAAGGAATCTTTATAATCATGTAATCAATCAGATACTTTGGGATTAAATCAGATACTCTAAATTGAATAGTCGTGGTAATTTATAGCACCCATATACTTTGTAATTTCAATAATGCAATAGATTTAAGTCAGTTTTTATGGACTTCCCCTTTTTGAATTTGCCTTGAATAATAATAATAATAATAATAATAATAATAATAATAATAATAATAATAATAAAAATAATGTGATAATAATAATAATAAAGTAATAATAATAATAATAATAATAATAATAATAATAATAAGGATAATAATAGTAATAATAATAATTTGCCAAAGGAATCTTTATAATCATGTCATCAATCAGATACTTTGGGATTAAATCAGATACTCTAAATTGAATAGTCGTGGTAATATATAGCACCCATATACTTTGTAATTTCAATAATGCAATAGATTTAAGTCAGTTTTTATGGACTTCCCCTTTTTGAATTTGCCTTGAAGGGCAACAGTATATTTGTTATACTTTTTCATTGCTTTGAATAATAATAATAATAATAATAATAATGATAATAATGATAAAAATAATAATAATAATGATAATAATAATAATAATGTGTTAATAATAATTATAATAATAATCATAATAATAATAATAATAATAAAAATAATAATAATAAAAATAATGTGATAATAATAATAATAATAATAATAATAATAATCATAATAATAAGGATAATAATAATAGTAATAATAATAATTTGCCAAAGGAATCTTTATAATCATGTAATCGATCAGATACTTTTGGATTAAATCAGATACTCTAAATTGAATAGTCGTGGTAATATATAGCACCCATATACTTTGTAATTTCAATAATGCAATAGATTTAAGCCTTGTTATCTCCCCTCGAATCTTTTATTACTCTTATGTACTCAGTTGATTTAAAAGGCTAAACATATGCAACTGTCGTCATAAATTGATGACACACGCGTTGACAAGGAAGTATTCATTAATCTGAATATAGTAGTATTCAAAATGGCCTACTCAATGTCATTAGGAAAAGGACAGGCTCCAGTCCCATGCCAATTCTGTGAAAACGAGAGAAAAATTACAAACAAATGTCTGAACTGCAACTTATTAATGTGTGAAAACTGTTCTGTAAAACTGCACGCAAAGGTAAAAGGAGCTGACGACCACACGATCGTTAATATTAGAAGTTTGGGACCCCAACATTCTTTAGAATTCAAGGATTTTAGCAGGATAAACTGTAGGAAACATCCAATACAAACAGCTTGTTTATTCTGTACCACTTGCGATCAATCAGTTTGTCCGACCTGTGTTTTGAAAGTACATAAGAAACACAATATAGAAGAATTTCAAAATGTATATGAACTTAAAGTCGAACGATTGCACTGCGGACAAGGGAAAGTAGAAAAAGACAACACGGAATTAGAGCGGAGATTCAAAAATCTAGATGACTTTAAAACAGTGGAAAACATAAGACTTTCAAACATACGAGAAAATATTCTTGACCGAGCTACACTTATAAAAAGTGAAATCGATGAATATGTGAGTAAACTCATTACTGAAGTCGATGAAGAGAATACAAAATTTTACATTACAGTTCATACTGAACAAAGTAAAATAGATGACACCAAGAAAAAGTTGAATGCTCATAGACAAAAGGCACAAGAGATGAAAGATACACCTGATATGACTGAGTTCTTTGCTAAGATAACGGATGTCACGCAAACGATGGAGAAGTGTTTACCACCATCTTGTTCAATTACCAGTGGAGAACTAATGTTTCTTCCACGATCAGAATTTAAACCAAATGTAGTAGGTGTACTTCAACACGAAAATATAAACCGTGAACTTGAACCTAAGATGAAAATAACAAAGAAGTATGTCACCGAAGAACGTGTTGTTCAGTTTCTTACCGAAGGCCCTGATAATTCATTGTGGTACAGTAATAATATTGGCGAACAAGTTCTCAAGAGAGTAAAACCCGGTGTAAAAAACCTTGAAATCTTATCAAGAGTTAATGTGAAGGTTTATGGTTTGACTTTCATTCCTGGTTATGGCTTGATTCTATCAACTGATGGTGAGACACTAAAAATCATTCCCGAAGACAGCAATGATATCATTGATTCTCGTTTTTCAGTAGATCCACTTGAACCGAAGTGCATCCATTTGACTAAGGACAATAAGTTAGCAATCGGTGCAAAAAGCAAAGGACCAATGTATCCATCATCTGGTCAACGAGTAGTCATACTCATGGACATGGAGGGAAACAGACTTTCAACATTTGAGTTTAACAAAAAAGGGAAACGTTTGCTTACACACCCCTGGGGAATAGCGAGTACGACCAATGGAAATGTTTTCATTCTGGACAGACTAAGTAGTAATTGTGATGGAAGGTTGGTTGTTTTAAACCGAGACGATGGAAACATTATAGATATATACTATGGCCGGGAAGGAGAAGATTTCGTTCCAAGAGGAATAATGGCAACAGAAAGCGACACCATTATCATAACAGACTGTAATGATCCTGATGTATCGCTTCATATCTTCAATATTTCTGGAAAGCTGATTTCACACTACAATACTAGGGACATTGGCATAGAGCAACCATTTTCAATTACTTTTTCAGCCACTGGACATTTTTACATCGGGGGAACAACATTGAGAGATAGTGGCGAAAAAGCTGAACTGTTTGAGATCGATTTGATTGAAACCTAGTTCTGTCTGCATTAAATTCCTTATTAAATGAAATTAATACTTAACAATGAAAAAAATGATGTTTTGTACATTTATTCTCTTTTATTAGTTCCAGACCATATAATTTTTTTTAAATTGCACGTAAGGTACGGACCATTTAAGTATATCTATTAAATCATTTATTCAAAATAATTTAAAAGACTAGAACACTCGAATGAATGCACACTCTTCTGTAACAAGTATGAACAAAAGACAATACAATGCATATTATATAAGCCTGTCAAATGATAAAGAAAGACTTTTAAATAATATTTTAAGATTATTGATTAATAAGACTTTAAAATCATACATTGAAAACGTCACGGACATTATTCATATCCAAATTTGGTAATGCAATGAATGAATAGTATCAATAAAGAAGTATAAAAAAAAGGGTGGAGTCCGTAAAACTGACAAAATCAAACGCGATCAACCACGGACTTAATATTACATACAGCAAATTGATTTATTGCCAGAATGTGTAAAGATATATTAACAGTTATTAGTATTATTGATATAAGTTTGCTGTATTCAAGTAAGGAATGTATTTTACGTTTTCTTTTCTCTTTTACAATCAGCTGTCAGGTGTGAAATAACCTGGATCAGTTGATTTGGAAATACACTTATGGCTGATGTGTTTATCGGCAATCATTACATGGAAGGTTGGATCAAATTTTTAACGTATTAGCTCTCTAAGTAACAATCCACAGGAAGACATATCACCCTGACCAGGATACATTTTTCTTATCCGAGACATGTTTTTACTCTGGGGAAATTTTTTCTGCCTCCTATATCGGGAAGAAATTTTCATACGCGGTCGTGGGGTCTCCGCGGGTCTCTGAAAGGCAGGTGGATTTTTTCTGCCTTCTACCTCTATATAGATTCATTACACCGGGGATAGAACCTACGACCCCTTGTACAATAGGGACTATCCTTACCACACAATTTGGTGGGGTTAAACCAGTTGTACAAGCACAAAACGTACCCAATCGTCTTACCGAGACCATATGTAGTAAAACGGAAACACATAAAAAATAAAACAGTGCACATACCAGCATGATAACCATTAACTTGATCACAGAAAGAAAAGACAGTACATTATTTGGGAAGCAGGTTGTGGTCAACAGATATTTAGAAATTTGGAGCCTACGGATATATTTAAGAAAAAAATATTAAATAAATTCATTTTATCATATTCTACCTAGCTATCACTACCTTAATATCAAATTTGTTGAAATCAGAACAATTTGAATGTTTGCGTATTTTGGTGGCCATTTTTGAAAATTGCGGCTGACCAATAATTTTGACAGCCGAAATTAATCCAAGATGTTATTCATTACGTTGAAATTCAATTTCGTTAATACTTAGATTTGTAATCTCTTACTCTATGAAATTTTGTAGCCATTCCAAAAACTGATGTTGACGAAGAACGATTAAACCGGAAATAAATTTGGAATAATTACTGTATATTATACCCGTACATCAATCTTATGAAAACATAGTACAAAAAGATGTTTCTCAACATTTGGGATATGTAAACAAATACGAAATGTTTACCCCTCCCCTTAAATTTACAAAACATTAGTCCTGCATACATACATACATATGAAAACACAACAACTGTATACATTATGTTCCATCCCTACTCATACTTTGGAGATGTTGCGTTCACTGAAAGTTTATCTCTGAATTTGTTTGTTTTTTTTAAAACATAAATTTAAAAAAAATACAAAATTAATTTTCCAATTGTGCAAAAAGCAATTACGCAGACTCGAAAAACGCAAAGGAATAAGATAAGTTAAAATGAAGTAACCGTCAAGACATTTCTTCAGCGAGTTTAAACTCACGAAGCCAAGCAAGTGGTTGCTTTGTTCTAATTCAGTCTGGGTGCTTGACTATATTTGCTATTTCTTATACACCTTGCTACAGATATTTAAGGAAAAAAGATTGACCGCATTTCCCGTCTGTTATCATTTATTTTTGTTTGCGTTGTTGTAAAACCACTAAGTAGGATGCTCGTCTTGATAATAGTATTCATTTCGTGCATCTTTTTGAACTATGCAACATATGGTAGAAAATGTGGTATTTAATGAAGGCTAAAAATGTTAGAACCATCTCGAAAGAGTTTTCTGAGCTGTTATAATGTGTAGGAATACTGTCACAGTCTCTTCCAAATATAAGTTCTGAGTGTCATTACTGGAACAGAGCCTGTTGAACCTTTCCCAGCAACTCAGTTACTCTAATTTTTTAATCGGTTCTATGTAGTGTTTTGTAGACTGCTGTTCCGTTGGTCATCGTGTTGTCTGTTTATATTCGATTTAAGATCAATTTAATTGTCCTTTGATATGTTCTCCATTTTTACAAAATTTGTATGGAATTAAATCTATACACTCTTCTGGATGATTAATTCAGCAGGGTGTAGTTTCAATAACATACCTCTGATTACTAGTTGGAAAGTTATTTAGAATTTGGCTTACGTTGGATATGGACCCAGGATTGTTTACTGCATCAAAAGGAGATTACGACTAAGCATTAAGTTCGCGTAAGATATCTAGGTTATCATAAAATTTTGACTTATTTTCAGGTTGAACGTAGACAGTGATACTTATCTCGATTTAGATTTCTACTGCACAATTCGTGTCTAAATCAAATCATATCAAATCTAAATCTAAATCAGTAATTTAGATTTTATTCAAAACTACATCCAACTTTATTGTTCCCTTATTTGCTTCCAATCAATCCACACAATATAACTAGTCAACTGATGACTCGTCTCTACACAGTGTCATCTTTCACCTTGATACACTTCCCGGTTTCTCTCCTATTAAATAACCATCATTTGTCATCAAATTGCCTTACCTTTTGAATAGATTTATTACTTAAAGTATTTATATATTAAGCTTTATCCATACAATATTGGTTTATATCTTGAAATCTATGATAGATAGAGAGAAATCCAAACATTAAAGACATCTAGAAAAATTAAATCTACTAATAGGTTCGCAACCCATATAGGAATGATAATGTTTACCCTTTTTGTATTTTTTGCGGAAACTATGGTAGTAGAGAGTATCTTTTAATATAAAAAATGTTCAGCAAAATAAGATCTACGAATAAGTCAACATAGACGAAATTGTCAATTGACAATTTACAGGAATTATTGCCTTTGAAAGGCGTATTTTAGTGACTTTTGCGTTTTTTGCAGACACTCTTATAGAAAGAGAGAAATTGTAAAAGCAAAATGTTAGGCCCAATAATATCTACAAAACACATCAAAGATGGTCGAAATAATCTATCAACTCTTTATGGAAGTTAATTCACATAAATAAGGAATTTAGTTGTCTCATTGGCACTCATACCACATCTTCTTATATCTATTTACCCATTTTTTGCATTTTTGTCAAAATATATAGTAGATATAGAGATATTTTAAAAAGTCAAAAGAAAAAAAAAAATCAGCAAAATAATATCTCAGGTAAGTCAACATAGCCATTTGTCACTCCTAAACGACTTTTATACATTTTTTATAATGTAAATTATCTTGAAAACTTTAATAGATAGATATAAACTGTAAACAATAAAAACGTTCATCAATACCAGATTTAGAAAACGCCACTTGATTTACAAATAAGCAAACATAACTGGTTGCAATAAAGGTAAAAATGAATATCAAATTCCATATTTTTACTAGGTAAGCGATTCAGGCTATCGGGAGACTGTTGTTTTTCATTCATATGTTATAGTAATGAAACTAATTTTGAAGGACTTACTTACAAACTGAATGGTTAGACTCATTTATAAACTGATTAAACTCCTAAGGACTTTATGTTAGATGAGAGCTAAATTCGACTTTACAATAAACTCTGTAAAAATAACCGTTTCTACTTTCAATTCTAATAAAATGCATTGATATTATGTCCAGATAAAAATATCCTCAATACTTAGTCCTCGATCCGTTTTTGTAACGTGTTTATGTAACAAAAAATTTGTTCCGGCGTGACATTTGTTCCGCCGGAACTTATTTCATAGAAAATATGTTCCACCAGAACTTATATCACAGAAAATAAGTTCCAGCCCTGTAAAAATTGTTCCGGAACTAATTTTTTAACCAAATGTGAAATAAGTTCCGGAACAAATATCACAGCTCCATGAATTTCGTTCCGATATAAATTGTTTTAAAAAAAGTCAGATAAATTCCCGTTATCAAAGTTAAAATTTTTTGAAATATCATATTAAGACAGCATATCTGTTATAAGTAGATAATATGATTAAAAAAAAATGTGTGATTTTTCGAATTCTTCTTTTTTTCTGCATTTGTTTCATCTGGATATTTTTTTTCAAGAATGTAATTAAATATTTTCCTATACTCCAAAGGATCCATATTGGATGTTTACACTTTTTATTATTATATATTATCAATGTAGTGCTTGTTTTATAATGTACTTGAATGATAACTTTAAACTCACTAATGACAATGCTCATTATTAAAGATAAGTTGTATAACCAGTGGAACTTATTTCACCAGGTAAGGAACAAATCTCACAAACCAGGAACTTATTTCACCAGGTAAGGAACAAATTTCATAGAATAGGAACCTATTTCACAATGTAAGGAACAAATTTCATAAACCCAGAACTTATTTCACCATGTAAAGTGTGGAACTTATTTTATAGAGATGGAACAAATTAAATAGAAATTGTCTGTGAAAAAAGTTCTCCCGGAATATATTTCATGTGATATTTGTTCCACTGGAACTTTTATCACAGGAACAAATTTTGGCTCACATTTACACATGTATAAACTTTTATTTGTCAGAAATAAGCCTCAGCATAATGCATTGCAAGTCTTATTTGTTACTTTTTAGCAATTGGTAGATATTCTGACGTCTATTAGGTTATGTAGATACACAATGGTTTTATCCCATTTACATTTTAATTGTGATTGTTGAAATAAGTTATCTGCTCTTTTATTTATATAATTGCTTTCCTGGCTCGGTTCTGGATGACCATTTTTACCTTTTTCGAAGGATGTCACAATTGACAAGCATATTCTGCTAGACCTTTATACACGGTGTTTCTTCTATGTGACTTTTCAAGTGATAGTATAAGTAGCTGATGGGATGATTTGTATTATTTGATTTTAAAATTCTATCCTTTTTCTAAGAACAAACACCGAGTCTAATGCTAAGAAAAAAAACCCCAACTTTATTTACAAATGTCACTACCTAAAAATATTTGAGCGTTCCTTATAAAGGTAAATCAAGAAAGATCCCGAAAACCACTTCAGACGCACGAAATTAATTAAGTGAAATTTGTATTTACTATAGCTAACACTGGTTCGATACCCCTGGTG